AGGAAGAGCTCTTCCTTGGCAGAGCCCAGGAGCGGGGGCAAGGAAGACCCGGGGGGCCTGCACCTCCGCTGGAGCCCAGAGCCCCAGGATGCAGGCCCGGGGACCGCCCTCTGACCCCGGACGTGAGCGGGGCGCCCCTTCTCCCTGTTCCCGAGGCTGGCTTGGTCGGGGTCGGCCAAGGGAGGCTCTGAACAGCAGGGTGAGTCGCAGGGGAGCCGCAGCAGAGCCCCAAGGGGACTGGAGGGCCCGTTCCTCCAAAGCCCAAGACGGCTTGTTTTGAGGAGAGAACCTGAGGCCCCGGTAGCTTCACCCTCTTTCTTCCGATTCTCTGACCCCTTTGCCCCCCCGTTCTGGGGATTTCACTACCAGCCAACTGCTACTGCAGCGACCCGAGAGAAGTCTCAAGATGGCCCTTTCGAGTCGCAGAATCCGGGTCTCGGATCCAGCACGTGCCTGTTTCCCTTGTGCGGTGCTGGGTCTTCATTTGGGCAGCAGATCCTCCTCGGCGTGCCTGGCACGCCCCCAGATGCCCATGCAGCCCCTCCCCAAGATCCGGGGGTGAGACTGAGTGTTGGCAAGGAAGGGCTCAGCATGTCTTAGAGAGGAAGGACTGAGCGCACGGGGGCCCTCGGAGGATGGGGGGTTCCGATGCTAAAGGCAAGGGGCAGCCAGCAAGGGTCACGTGTAGAATCACCGGGTATTTTGTACAGGCGGTCCGATGTCTGCATCTCTCTAATTGCAATTCTTTTCTGAGACACATGCCTAGAAAAGAAAAACTGTGAAATCAGCCTGCGGGTGCAGAGTCATCTTGTTTTGGGGGAAAGGAGACTGCCTGCATCCATCTATTCATCTGTTTTTGTCTCCTTTCCCTTGATTCCTTTTTGAGTCCTGATGGTCTTTGGTCAGAACAGGCCCCTGTTCGACTTGCCCCAGGCCCTTCCTTTCTAGAAGCTGCATAAAATTGAGGAGGGGGGAAACCCAGTGGGCTGCGGATCCGTTTCTTTCTGGGAGCAAGAGGAGAAGTGCAGTCCTTCAGGAGTTGGGAGTGGGGTGTGGACGTGCACTCCTTGTATCCCCAGAGACCTTGATTCTTGGCACGTCTTGCCATTTTAAAAGAAGTTGTGAAGTTGAATCATGGCAGAGAGCAAGTGCTGCTGTAGCAGTTGGCGGTCTTGTTTTTCTAAAGCACGACCCCCCACACACTTTTCAGGGAGACGAAAGGTCGTGCACTCCTCTCCCCCGCCCCCCGGAAGGGAAGCCCTGCTCCTGGAGCTTGCAAGGGGCTTTTCCAGGCCCACCTTGCAGAGGAAGTAGGATGAACGATGCCTCCCCACAGCGCCCTTCTGTGATGCTCCCAACCGACGGGAGGCACAGACCGGCCTGCTGTATCAGAAACCCCCCATTTGCCGTTACTTATCTGCGCATACGTCGGACTTCCTAAGGGGTGGGCTAGCTGCAGTAGCTCCCTGGCCTGGCAGAAAACCCCTTGGGGTCCATGCCCAGCACTCTCCCCAAGCAGTTGATATTGGCACTTGCTGTTGCTGCCCACAGGTGGCATCCTGAAGGTCAAGTGGGTCCTCAGGCATCCTGCAAGCGGGTGGCCGGGGGCTTGTCTTCCGGAGGGCTGGGGAGCCTCCCCGCTGATGGGGTCAAGCAGGTCAGCTGGCCTTGTCTAGCGGTCCCTCGGCAGAGTTGGAGGAGTCGGAGGGGGCTGCTTTTCTTCCTTCCTTCCCCTTCCCGTTGTCGTCCGGTGGGTTTGTGTAGAATTGATGTGGACTGTAACTGAAATGCAGAAAAGACAGCACTGAAGGGCAGAGGGGCAACTGCTCTGCTCGGGAACCGTGTGTATAAGCCTGTACATAATAAACGTTCACTAAATCTGCGCCTCGGACTCGTGTTTGCACGGACGTGTGGGGGGGGCAGAGGAAATTAGGGGCCATGGACGTGGCCAGTGGGTTGGATCCCTGGGGCTGGATGAACAGGTTCCGCCAAGTTGGGCAGACCCTTCCCCACCACCAGCCCACCCCTTGCGGAGCATCTCCCGCAAAACAGCGCAGATATCTTGACAAAGCCAACTCAAGTTGCCCAAAAATTTCTGCAGGTGGTTCCGTTTCCTGAACTGCCGATCAGGCAAACAAGTTGGGAAGGAGCCTGCGGAGAAAGAACGTGGTTCAGATCTTGTGCAAGAAGTCTGGCTGCCAGCCACAGGGCCTGTACGTTGGCACTGTGGCCACTTGACGTCGCTAAAGCCCTGCTCTTCGTCACACACTGGAGTGTTGGGGAGCTCAGATTGGCTCAGGCCTTTAACCCGGGAGCCGGTCTGATGGGGCAGTTTCTCAGAACTGAACCACCTCTGAGCCGGAATTGGACCCGGGAACCTTTCTGAATCTGGGGAGCCGAGTCTCTGAAACAAGACCTAGGCAGGTGCAGAGCGCTTTCCTGTCCCAAGGACAGCTCTATAATTAGGGATTCTGTTCAGGGCTTAGTTTGAAAGAGTGATGTCCTAATCTTGTGTTGGAAAGGAGTTCCTGCATTCCCCGAATGTGCTGGTCCAAAGGATTGGGATCAAATCTGCACAACACTGGCTGGTCTTGGGGTGTCCAGGAAGCAGAGAGTAGGACAGACAAGATGCTCATGACTCAGAAAATGTTTCCCACCCAAGGGGTCCTTGAAGGGAGAAGAAATGGCCCTCAAGAGAGGGCCAGCTTGGCTGACCAGCTGCCTGTACTTTGGCCTGGAGGTCCTTCAAGCAACATGAGAGGCCCAATTCAAAAATAGCACTCAAAGACAGATGGGGGGGGCTGAGTCAGGGAGCGCATCATACTGCGCAAAGACTACTTGTGTTAACCCATTCAGTCATCCTGCAGCTCCCCCACTTGGAAATCCTCTCTGTGTTTTGCCCATAATGCCAAGGAATCTTTTAATAGCCTATATTTTAATAGCATTGTTATTTAAATCCTGTTTCTAAATCCATACCCCAAAGAGGAGCTCTCTAAAATGACATGAGGCACCAACAGTCCTCTTTTAAAGAAGCAGCACATAGACGCTATCGTGATCCATTTCCCGCAACTTAACAGATCTTAGACTTGCAGCTGATATTTTGGACTAAGTGGGAAAAGAACCCCAGTGCCCATCCACAGGTTGACCTGTGAACTTAACCTAGCTATTGGCTATTGCAAAATGATGAGAATTAGCTGTGATGCTGCTCTGTAGCACAGAATATTCCTCTTCTTTGTTGTGGGGAAGGGGTCAGCCTAGAGAATGCCCCCATCCTTTTCTTCTGCCCCATCCAGACCATCATTGGAGCTTTTTTCTGCCTGAAGTAGCTAAAAACAGCACCTGTTATGGCATCCAGTGCTTCAGATGGTGGCCTTGCTACCTCCACTCATCCAGGTTCTTCATGTTCTCGCATGCTAAGCACTTAGTGGTAGATTTATTTTAGAACAGTTGACTCTCTGAGATGGAGGTTTTCCTAGATCAAAGAGGAAGACGCCCTTATTCCCCACCTGCCCTCCCCCACTCCTATTAGGACCATTCCAAAATGGATGAGAGATGTTCAAAGAAAGTGAATTCATCATTGGTCCTAGTATCTCTGGGAATCCCAGTTGGGGACAACCTGCCTTCGTATACAGTTGGAGGGAACAGTGGCAAGACAAGGTGCGTTTCTACCTCCTGCTTGTGAGGACCCCAGAGGGATCTAAGCTGGTGGTTGTGAGAAACAATGTGCTGGGCTAAGGTTGGCCTTCACTGATCCAGCAGGGCTAGTCTTACATTCAAGAGGATGCTGACACCTCAGAGCCATGCTGAAGATCACAGCAGTGGAAGTATTGAAAGGTTCTCCTTGACTTCATCCCTCTGCTCCAGAGCCAATAGGTTCTTCTCCAGGAACCCAAAGAAAGGGGTAGGAAGAATCCCAAGTTGAACCCCCATTATCTGGCAGCAAGCCTTACTCTTGAGAGAAAGCATGCCTTGACTTGGTAGGATTCAATCAGGCAGGAATGAAACCATCCTTGCTTTCTATTATGGGTAACGGGTGTAAAACACTGGTCTTTTGCACGGTTGGGTACCACGGTCACATTTCTGAGTCTTGTGAATAAATATTTTACTGAATCACCTTTCAGCTCAGGAGCATCTGGTGGCGGTCACTGACCTCTATCCCTGTGGTTTGGGGCGAAGGGAATTGGCCAAGAGACTCGTCATCCTCATGGCGGTCTTTTCTGAAGCCGAAGCCTTTCTGCTGTCACTCTCCGCTGCAATCTGGGGAACTGGAAGCCCTGTGGCTAATGGCTTTGATCACTTTCAAAATGCTTTATTAGAGCTGATTGTTATTCATTAACTGTCCTGGAGAGTGGCGGTGTTTTGATGTGAGCCGGGCCTCCTGATGCTCTGCGATGTGCTCTTGGCAGCCTCCCTTCTGTCTTTCCAGTTGGCCGGCTGGCCCAGGGTCTCTTGACTGGCACGGTGAGTCGGGGCTGTCTGGCGGGTGGCTGACAGCAGCAAAAAAGAGCATCGCAGCCGGGAGCAGGAGAGAAGGCAGAGCCAGCAGCACACGGCAGCTGGAAATTGGCCCAGCTGTGCCTGGAGGAATGGAGCTCGGTCCAGCCACTGACGAGAGGCTTGTGGGGGAGCTGGGGGTGCGCAGTGCACTTGGCTGGCGATCAACGTGCATTGACTGTTGGGTGTTTTAATGATGTGCTTTGTTATCTGACTAAATAAATGTAAAATATCAATATATTGAGGGGGCGGG